CACTTAACTTAAACTATTAGAAAATTTAACTTTTTGTTGAGTAAACCACAAATGATTGCCAATTCAAATTATCCCATTAATATAATTCATAAGTTTATTTATATGATATAATTAGATTCTAACTGTGTATGACTTAAACTATTAGAAAATTTAAATTTACGTGGAGTAAACCACAAATGATTACCAATTTAAAGACGTTCAAACAACGATAATCAATTTTTAGACCATAATTGTCCAACTCAACAAAATTCCAACAATAACAAAAAACAAATGTTGTTTTACAGATTCCTTGCAGACTTACTTATAGTTTTCCTCGAATTCGTCAAATTTCGTTTCCAAACCAATTTCTTATACCAATTTAAACAATGTTTGTCTAGAGGAAATTAATTAATTATAATTGCGTTACCTGCTATTCCAAGTCCAACTGATAGAAATTAAAAATGCTGAATCAATAAAACTGAGTCACGTGTTGTGCTCTACATTTTGTTCAAATGAGCTTAAAATTAATCTTTTGGCGAACTTGTTGGTCTTCCACGTGTAATTGATTTTCAAGTGCATTTTGCTAGAAGGGCCGTTAGTATTAAATTGAAATTTACCCAGAATAGTTGCTCTCACAAGACAAAGGTAAGTCACGCTAATATTTGCAATCGTATTGTTAAACGCCAATATTACAGCAGTTTTGAAAACTTTATTAGCGTGTAAGTATTAATTAGTAGATACTTTTACAGGATCAGGGACAACCGTCCAACATATCGGGTCTTATTAATTAATCGTAAATTTAAAACAAAGTCACTTTTCCACGTGATCTCCAGATGAAATCGATTTGCAAAAAGTGATAACAAATTTGCACCGTTAAAAAAATAATACGTCATCTTTATAAATTTTTTATTGTTTTAATAATTTTAATCGCTAGGAAATTTATTGCTAATGATAATGATAAAGTTTCGAGTGAAATTGATGTATTACTTCCGCCTTTTATTTCTTCTTGTACACACATATTTATACTCAAGTTAAGCATATTGTCAAATAAGCGTGTAATCAATCTATTGTAAGAAACGTTTATGGATTTATTGAACAACAACAATACGCATATCAGTTGACGATTCCATGAATCTTAAATACTACATTTTTGAATGTCAAGCACTGCTGGGCGTGAATTACCCCAAATGTAAGAATTGTTCTAGTTTTGACTATACCTAATACGTAATCATCATTATAAGGACGTAAGTCCTAAAACTGGTTGGACACGCACGCACTTCCACTCCTTCCTATCCTGAGTTAATCTCCGCATTTCTCTATAACTAGAACATCCCACATCCTTAAACTATTTGTCAACAGTAATCCAGTCTAGGTCTACTTCTTCTCTTACCTCCTGTTTGTGCTTCTAATATGTCTCTAACTAACTCTTCATGTCTAACCGAGCGCCATGGTCTAGAGACCATTGGTTAGCATTCAGGAGGACGCCGGTTCCGTCTGCCTTGGTCCAAGTTTTCTGTAGTTTCCTTGGATCACTTAGGCAAATGCTGGGGCAGTAATATTCCACAGATAATCTTTCATTCTCTTCTGTCTTCATTTCGTCCGTCTCAACTTTCTCACCCGAACCACTACCCGCCCATTCCCACGATTCCTGAAAGTAGGCTGAAGAGGACCTTCCGCCCTACCTTCCGCCGTAGTCCGGAGGGACTGCTCGCCCACCAGCATTACTAGCTGGTGGGAATGAAACACCTAAAAGTTTTTTCTTCATGTCTGAGGAAGGTGCCTTACCATCCTATTTCTCATTGACTTCCATAGCGCCTGTAACACCACATTTCGAACGCTTCTAACCTTTTCTTTTTCACCACTCCCACTGTTCATACTTATTACCCACATACAGTACCATGCTCCATACAAATACCTTTAACAATATTGCAATATATAATGACACAATTTAATTATTACTTACATAAAAATCAAACAAAAGCGTTACTATTTAGTTACCAATATGGGAAAATCAAATCGCGCATTCGACTACGACGATCTTCCAGAAGTAGATGATCGCTACAATTTGGGAGAATGTATTGGAACAGGAGTTTTTGGTAAAGTTTACATTGCAAAAGATACGGAAGCAGGAGGAAAGAAAGTCGCCGTTAAAATACAGAGATATAACAGAGATACTGCTCACTATGTCCAAGAAGAATACCGAATTTTACGTGACTTTTCACATCATCCCAATTTACCAGACTTTTATGGCATATTTCGAAGAAATGATGGAAACGAAGATGAAGTGTGGTTTAGCATGGAAGTAAGTGGGACTTGAGCAACAATTTACAATCCTGTAATTCCGTGGAATATCTAGTTACGTCACCCTACCTCCCATGCAAAGTAAAACTGTTTTATAACCTTAACTAATAATAAATTTTGTCCAAATGACAATATGAATAATTACCTAAAATATAATTCATTCGATACAAAAAATTAGAATGTGTTATTCAAAACTTAAAGATCGTACTTATTAAGGGAATTATCTTCGAAAAATTTTCCTCAAAGAAAGCATTTGTTACAAACATTTATTTTTCATAGTTATTAGCAGCTAAAATTTGCCAATCTATCCAGAACTTTTCATTTTCCATTGTTGTAACTTTCAGTTTTGTGCAAAAATGCCTATTACAGTTTTTAGTATCAATAGAAATTCCAAGAAATTGTTCGAAACGGAAAAGCCCCAGAAACCGATTATTATTGATAGCTTTGGAACTGTCATGTTTTTCACCTCGCTTTCTATTTATTCAGAAATTTCAAAGAAACTCATATCATTATACTCATAACGAAATTTGCGAATTCAACAAATTTGCAAAGTGTACTACTTTTTACCGAGTGACTATAGGTACAATCACCAGTAAGGATGTAATATTAAATGATGTTCCTCATTAAATAAGAAAAACGATACAGTGAAACAAAAATGTAAAGAGCGGTAAATTAATATCAAAATTTGTTAACTTAAGTAGGTAATTATATATTTTAGAGTGCAAGTACATAATTTTCAAACGTCAATCACCTATTTGAATTTTCATGTCTAGGGCTTCTTGCAGCTATCTTTAAGAAGTCGTAAAAGTGATACGCCTTAGATCCAAATTCGTGTAAGCTAAAGTATTTGGTATTTCGTTTCTTAATCTGATGTTATATTAATTATACTCGGTGCCAAATAGGCTTAGCTCTGGTCAAAGTCAAGGTTTTTTAAAGACGTCGCTTCAAAATTTAAGTTATATAAATAAAAAAACGAAAATGTACATTCTCTTTTAATCATAACATTTTAGTTCATACTTAAATTATTTACGCATAAAATAAGGCCTGGCTTTAAAGGTGTCAATCAAGTGAGGATTTATAATTACGCGTATCATCATTCTTTTATAGTTTTGTACTGGAATTTTTAATTCTAATTCAATCTATTCTATTTAATTTATATATTTAAGGTAAATATCACAATAATGTTTTGCTTTTATTAATATGAACATAATAGTATGAGAGGCATACATAGATTTTTAGTTATATGCTACCGTTTTTTAAAGTTAAAAAATTATTCAAAAATTCAGATCTTTTCCTACAATTAGTGCGTACCATTGCTTCGGGCAGGGCTATACGAACAAGTGAATGCTTAGCTTTACGCAGCTGTTTTGGAAAAGTTAAACCGATAAGAAATATAGAGTACATTACCCACTACGATTTCAATCGTTCTTTACTTACCATTGCTTTAGACCTTAAACAACGACTATCACGTACAATTTCGCATGCTGCGAGCTTTATATGCATATAAATTCTTGATAAATAGGCATTAAAACAGTCAACTGTATCTATCATCGGCTAACGTTCTACTAAAACAGGATCCATTATTTCGATGTATACCTAATATAAGTACATAGGTATATCCATGAATTCAAACAGCATGAAGGTTCACAAAGTCGTTAGTCATTACTATTATAACATACAACGTGAATATGTCGAAATTAATATAATATGTAAATGGATATACTAATATGAAAATCGGGTTCTAAAGAAGTCCTTCCATCTAACTATAAATATGTAAGAAATCCAACTTTTCAAAAATCATTTATTTATTTCAGATTGCAAAAAGTGTAAATAAATATATTTTATATTCATAACCTAATTCTCTTATTAACGATAACATAAAGATGTAAACAATTCTGAGTCTTTTACTAGTAATGATTGTTAATTATATAGTCCTAATTATAAAGTAACAAGGTTAGTTTAATGTAAGATTACAAAATTCGGTGAAGGCGCCGGGATATTATAATAAAATTGACGATTAAATATGCATTTTATAATTGCTATATACGTTTTTCTTGAATTTCCATTTTCTTAGCTCTGTGAACTGGGCCCTGTAATTGATTTAGTAAATGGCATGATATCAAAAAATCGAAGAGTGTCTGAAGAACATATTGCGTTCATTATAAAAGAAGTAGCAAAGGTAACTCCAACGTTATCTCTATCAATTTCAGTTTCGAATGTCAGTAATAATTTTAGGCATTGGTGTTTCTACACGAAAATCACATAATGCACAGAGATATAAAAGGAAGCAATATACTGCTAACGAAAGAAGGAGAGATCAAATTGGTCGATTACGGACTAAGCAGGATGCTTAGTAGCACTTTGGGAAAAACTGATTCCTTGCTGGGCTCTCCCTGTTGGATGGCTCCCGAAGTTGTTGCTAGTACTGAAACGGATGAGGATTCCGGATACGGAAACCGAGCAGATGTTTGGGCTTTAGGAATAACTGCCATAGAACTGGCAGATGGCAAGGCACCATTCCAAGATATGCATCCTACCAGAGCTATGTTTCAAATTGTACGAAATCCTCCTCCTACTTTATACAGACCAGCCAACTGGTCTGAAGAATTCAATGACTTCATTAATGAGTAAGAAAATACTTTAAGTTATATGAATTCGAATAGTGCCTAAGCACAATAGAATATATACTGCCTTCCCAAACAGTATAGAAGATTTGTTTTATAATTATCGACTGTATTCTTTTATTGCGAAACGATGTTTACGATTGCCAAAAAATTTGGACACTCATTTTTGATTAATATTTGGACACCAAAATTGCTTTATTGGCTCTGTATTTAATATAATGAAAATTTTCGAAACCTACATTGCAATTGTCTTTGCTGCAGATGCCTTGTAAAAAATCCCGAACACAGGCCCTTCATCATAGAAGTAATGGAACATCCGTTTTTAGAAACTGTCCCAGAGAATAGCTACCATGTAAGTAAACTATCCAAGAAATAACTACATAACTACATCACATATTTTCATATCCTTACTTTGTTTGAAGATTAACCAAGAGCTTAAAGCCCTGATGGAGCAAATGGGCAGTACAGGAAAAGAAAAGCGGCAAGCAGAGTGCACTGTACACTCCAATTTTCTTAAAAAGTCTCGAAATCAACCCCTCGAACGGATGCATGTTGAAGACTTAGCCGCCCTCGATATAATAACAGAAGATGCTATAATTCAAGAGTTATATGCAAGGATGAAAGCGGGACAATTCCATTCGTTCATCGGAGATATTCTACTCATAGTTAATCCAAACGAAAGAATGGATATTTACGGAGAAGAAGTATTAATACTCATTTGGATACATACCTGTAGAATCACTTATCGAATTATTATTGTTACAGTATCATCGTAGACACATGTTAAAATCAAGATCCGATAACGCCCCTCACATTTACTCTGTGGCAGACAGTGCCTACCAAGATGCACTTCATCACGAAATGACACAACACATCTTGCTGACTGGAGAGAGTGGATCAGGTAAAACGACAAACTTCTTGCATTTGGTAGATCATCTCCTTTTTCTGGGCTACACCATAAACGTAAGCAGCGACAGGATTAAAGATGGTATTAAATTAATACATGCACTGATCCACGCAACAACCCCAATGAACGATTACTCTACGAGGGGTGTAATGCGCACTGAAATAACGTTCGGGAAAAGTGGAAAAACTTCGGGCGCAATGTTCCAGGTCCAACAAATTGAAAAGTGGCGCGTGTCAGGTGTTGATATGTAAGTAACCCACTCATGAGTTTAAATACTTATAAAAATTAAAAGGGTTGGAGGTGGATCACTTTTCACAAACAGCAAGTAGTCGTTTGCTGTTAAATTTTACCCATATAAATAACTGAAATATCATTATCATCATCATCATAAGGCCGTCAGTCCTAAGACTGGTTGGACATGTACCTCCACTCTTTCCTATCCTGAGCTAAACTTCGCATTTCCCTAAAACTAGAACAACCTATATCCTTAACTATTTGCGAACAGTAATCTAATCTAGGTCTACCTCTACCCCTCCTAACTCCTGTTTCTGCCTCTAATATGTCTCTAACTAGATCTTCATGCCTAAGAAGGTGTCCTACCAACCTATCTCGCCTATTTTTTATTGACTTCCATAGAGTCCTCTGTTCTCCTATTCTTTCTAATACCTCTTCATTTCTAACCTTTTCTACCCACGATATCCTCATCATCCGCCTATAACACCACATTTCGAACGCTTCTAACCTTTTCTTTTCCGCCTCGCCTACTGTCCATGTTTCGCACCCGTACAACGCCGCGTTCCAAACATACACCTTTAACAACCTTTTTCGAATTTCTAAATTAACCGTTCGCGAGCATAGAAGTGACTTCTTTTTATTAAAGGCGACTCAATCCTGCGCTATCTTCTGCTTTATATCCCTACTACTCCTTCCATCCTGACTTATCTGACTTCCTAGGTATCTAAAATCAACTGAAATATAGAAAACAAATTTAAAGTTTGGTATGGCTCATCTTAGTATTGTTGGAATTATACAACTACAAATATTAAAACTAAAAAATGAATGTCGTTCTTTACTGGTAGAATACAGATGCACCTTTTCGGGCATCTCTCTGTTCTTATTTCATAAACTCAATAAATTTCCTTGCAGTACGCGCAGCCTTCATGAGCCCATCTTGAATAAATTAATTTACGTTTAATTGCTACAATTACCTTTTCGTTTCGTTTAACTATAGTCTTCATTAAATCAAATACCTTCATTCTACGTTATATCAACAAGTTCATTTTAACTTGAGGAATTATCCAAAATTACGTTGCCGAACTGTCCAAAAGGAATGTGGTATCTAGTTTTTTTACACTTGCATTTTTCTACTTCTCATTTTTCTCTATAGGTTGGCCCGTACCATAGTGTACAAGAAAAATTTAATTTTGAAGAAAAAAATATAAAAATTTTTAAAAATTTTGAATTTTTCATCAACACCGAATGCCACCGCATATGGCCTATAACGTTCGCAATGAGTCGGGGCATCCGTCTGTGCAAGAATTCTTCCGATAGGTCCTACCGTTTTCCAGCTACAGCTCCCAGAAAGTCAAAATTAGAAGCTTTGCGCTCTCGAACATGACCGCGATTAAAAATTCATAGCTCCGCAGATGTACGTCCGATCTACATTGAATTAAAACTCCTTTCAAATTTCCACACTTCTCCTACTGTCTATCCTCACTTCGAACTTCAGATTTAATCACTTTTCCCAATTTTTTTTTTTACGTTTTGCAGATTATCTATAAATTACCACTTGTTATTCTGTTAATTAAAAAGTTAGATTATTTTACAACCCACATTTATACTTACAATGATTTGTCACAATGTGGTAAATAGCGTCTCTCCTGACTGATCCACCTCTCCTTACTTTATTATCATCCAGATTTGAAAATAAAAGTCTTAATTTGTTTCAAATATCAGGGATCAATCCAACTTCCACATTTTCTACTACTTTTACGATGGTTTAGCTGATGCAGATCAACTGTCGAAATATATGTTGAACGAAAACAGATCGTACAGATATATGAGGATACCCGATAGTTCAAGAGGTAACAGACCGCGGGATAATCCCGAGGACAATGTCCGTAAATTTAAAAAAATCAAAGAAACTATGAAGAAGTTTGAATTTTCTGACAAGCAAATCGAAGCAATATTTACTGTATTGGCGGCAATCCTTAATCTCGGCGATGTTCGTTTTCTGGACACAGACAAGGGTGTGGCGGAAATTGAAAATCCCCACGTTGCATCTAAAGTAGCACAATTACTTGAAGTTGATGAGAAAAAGTTTATATGGTCACTTACAAACTATTGCTTCATTAACAAGGGCACAGCTGTTAGAAAGAGACACACCAGTGACGAAGCTAGAGACGCCAGAGACGTTTTGGCCAACACTCTGTACCTTAGATTAGTCGACTACATTATTTGCAATATCAATCATAAACTATCTGTTGGTAGAGCAATTTTGTAAGTATTTCATTCATCACGCCTCTCTACTCCTCCTAATCCTGAATCAATCTTTGAATTTCCCGAAGCCACATCTTTAACTATTCGCTAACATTAATTATATCCCAATCCCCCTTTGCCCCTCTAGCCCTTCATGGCTCAAAAGATACCCTTCCATCCCACCTCTCCTTCTCCACTTTCCTGCTTTTTCGAATAAATCCTCACTTCACCTTTTCTTTGCTTCGTGAGTCGTACGATAGTTATCTCATTATTTTTGTTCGGGAATGTTATTAAATGAAAGTGTATTACTGTTTCTTGTAGTGGTGATAAATATTCTGTTAAAATTTTGGACCTTTACGGTTTTGAATGTTTCACCAGAAACCATATTCCTCAACTGCTAATCAATTGCTTGAATGAGCAGTTACATTATCATTTCCTGCAAAGAATATTTGCTTGGGAAGCTATTGAATTAACTGAAGAAGAAGTACCAATAAAACCAATACATTACTACGACAACAAATCTGCTCTTGATATGCTGCTAAGCAAATGTGGTGGCATTTTGCATCTCATTGACGAAGCTTCTCGTCAAGCTCAGGGAGGCGAATACATTACAGGTATAAGTATGTCTTTTATTTGCTCTGGAATGAACTGATTTATTTGATGTACTACAGGAGAAATTCGTCAACGAGACAATAAATTCGCAAGGGTATCCGAGGGCACCGAATTTTTAATTTCTCACTACACAGGAACAGTTTCATACGATGCCAAGGAAATGCCAGACAGGAACCTTGATTTCTTACCTCCTGAAGTGATAGAAACGCTGAGGTTATCAAAGAATCCAATTTTTAAACAACTGTTCAGAAACAAACTGACTAAAACTGGTAACTTGGTTCTTTCGTTTGAAGATGCAGTTCCTGATGCCAAAAGGCCGAAAGCATCATCTTCATCCGATGAAGAAACTTCGACCCAAGTAAGTCATATTAGGTTATTCAACATTATTTGAAATATGAATGTTGAGTATTGTAAATTGAATATTTTATTGCTTCCTTTTTCTACCAGTTTGCAATCGATCTTAAAATCATTAGTAAAATCGGCTCATATAGGAACATAATTTCATGTTTCGGTTTTTCGTTTGTTTCTTTTGAATACCCAAAAAAAAAATAGCTTCGAATAAGCAGATATCATTACACATAGGTCAAATTGTTACCTACAATGGTTCTCTTCATATTCGTAGCAAAATTCGCAAAACGCTGATGGAAATTACTCCCAGATAAGAAAAATGAGGACTGCCACGTCCACATTCCGTGCCTTATGTTTGGAATTGTTAAAAGAACTTTCTGTAGGAGGTGGTGCAGGTGGTGTACATTTCGTGTTATGTGTTCGTTCAGATCTTCAAGAAACGCCTAAAGGATTTCATAAAGAAATTGTGAAGCAGCAACTTAGAGCTCTCAATGTGTTGGAGACGGCCAAGGCAAGACAACGGGGCTTTCCACACAGAATTCCATTTCCAGAATTTATCAGAAGGTAAAATACGTATGTCTAAGCGTTAAACGTATTGCAACTGTCGAAGTTGTTATTTATAGGTATAAATTTCTGGCATTTGATTTTGATGAAAACGTCGAAGTTACTAAAGATAATTGTCGCCTTTTATTAGTAAGATTGAAAATGGAAGGATGGTTGATTGGAAAAAGCAAAGTGTTTCTTAAATATTATAATGAAGAGTACCTGTCTAGGTAAAAACGGTTTTAGAAATTAATATTGATGTTACATGATAATTAATATAAGTGCGTATTATGTTGTAGATTGTATGAAACTCAAGTCAAAAAAGTAATAAAAGTACAATCGATGATAAGGTCATATTTGGCAAAGAGAAGAATAGCAAAGAAAGGTAAGTTGCCTGCTACATCCAAAAAACTTTTCGTAGGAAACCCATGAGTCCTCCTCAAGATCCCAATATCTTCACCACATTTATCGAAATATTTCAAAACCACAATATCACTCCAGCAGTCTTCATATAATTGCGTAACGTATTGTTAATTCTTCTTAACAACATATCACGCGAGTATACAATTTTTTTGTCTTCATGATTCTTCTACTCTTTCCAAAGAAATTTTGGATTATTTCCAACATCTATTTTTCCAAATCAAAACGTATTATGCCTGAGAGACATACTCTACATATTTTTGGTCACCATTCCTTTGAATAGAGGAACTTAGTTCTAAATATAATTCTTATTTGAAGTGAAACTTCTTTACGCACGCTAGGGTAAGTTCGTTTTTCATGCGAGTCGCTATGTAACGAAATCATGCAACGCATTTCCCCCGCTGTCTGTCCCTATGTATGCTTAGATCATTAAAACTACTCAACTGATTTTAATGCGGTTTTCTTTAATAGATAGAGTGATTCAAGAGGAAGGTTTATATGTATAATGCATGCATAATATACTAGAGAAACACTGATAATTTTAGAGGTTTGTAATGTGATGTCGTAAATAAACACATTTTTTTGCGCTTTCATTGCAAACGGTGGCTGAACCCTACGAGATAGATCAAAATAATGTACCACAGTATTGTACACCTTAAAAAGATCTACAAAAAATTCCATGATGGTATATGTCTATCTCTTAGGGATAACCCACAATAACCATTTTTTATCCTTTACTTTTCACGAGAAATAATGGCTTATTTACGAAGCGATTTTAAGCAATTCAGCATTAATCCTTATCCAATTAAGTACTTTTAAATACATTGTGCATTTAATATAGATCAATGTGGCTCTTTACAGCATGTAATTTAAATGAATATTTTCGAAGACATTACAAACTTAAAATGCAGGGACATAGCGGTTGCGGCGGTACCGACCGGTTTGTATTGTCTAATGACTGATTGTTGTATATAAAGACATTCTATAGTATATTTACTATCAGAATTGCACCTATGCGAAGCATAGTGTACAAATAATGCCATTAAACCACTTCATTAACACCTATCCCGGTATGTTCGTGTATTTTAAGAAGTTTCACTTCAGTAGCGTGCTGTATAATTACACGTTGTATTTTTTTTTATGAAAAAGGAAAATTTTGATTATTATCTAATATGTTGGTACACCCTTTATTGTACAATTTTAAGGGTGAATAAAAATTTGTTGAAACTACCCGATGTGAGTAGCGATATTACTGCAACTTCAAACATTTTCATTGCTACAAATCGTAGGTGTAATCCGTCCTTGTTCCTTCTACTACTAACATTATTAGTTTCTTAAAATCACTTGTGATATAATATATTTGTAATTTTTCAGTACATGCACGATAGATTGTGATAATTTATAATGATTAAAGTAACTAGTAAATGATGTATAATTTTCTTCCTTTAGGTCAAAAATCCCTTTCCAATCAGAATACTAAGGAGATGAGTGAAGATGAAGCAGCAGTTGTTCTACAGAAAGGTACATGCAATTTAGCAGTTAGTCTTTTTCTCTTCATTTTTACATAATTCTTTTCCATTCAATCCTTTCACTTCGGATTTGTTTGTTTTAGTTATCGATCCTCCTGAATGCTCAGACTCCTATAGCTCGGAATAAACAACAAACAACTTCGAAGTGCTCCTAATATAGATTATGATATACCTACATTTATTTCTACCATAGAATATAACTAATTTCCAGCGTATCGCGGTATGGCATCAAGAAAAGCATACGGACCGTTGGTATCCAAGCAGTCGTCTAAAGTAGACAAAGAAACCAGCAATTTCATTCAATATTACTGCAAGAAATGGAGAGCAAAAACGATATTCCAAGTACTTCTACAGTACAGGGCGGCCAGGTTTCAGGACCTGTTCAATTTATCCCAACAAGTAACTCATATACGCGAAAAAAAAACGCGATATTATTACACAAATTCTACTTTTAGATTCATTTGTTCAACCAGAGCGTTGTTAATGATATTCAAAAAATTAATTATGAAGTCGATTTTGATTGTATCGATTCTAGAGCACAGGTGAGCGGGTGGTTGGGCAGAAGGAAGCCCTCTGTTCTCAAAATGCCCTTTAGATTGGAGGATATACCATTCTTCGACACCGTTTACCTTTGCGACCCTTCACAGAGACCAACAGGGTAATATGCTGCAACTATATTTCTTAAATTTTCACTTTCTACTTTTATGGTGCTTCATAAATGTGTTGTTGTTGTTTTAAATGTTTGTAAAATAATGTTTAACAACTTTAAATTAAAACATGAAAGTGTTTTTTTATCTACTTTATTAAATTCTACAACTTATGTATTTAACCCATCGAAAAAATATTGGGGTTAATTTTAAGTTAAACAACTGAATTACTGAGTATATCTAATTTTAATATAATTTAATTCTTATTCACTACAAATTACCTCAAATTAATGAAACAAAATTGTTGCTGCTGGAGCCTTTCGTAGCTTAATGGTTAGAAATGCATAAAAGCCGAAGGTCCTGGGTGTGATTCCAGGCAACAATTTTTATTCGTAATTTTGAGGTATTTTATAGAAGAATGAAGATTCGGGCTGTAGGACCGTGGTCTAAGTGAACTATTCTGTCCAGACGTTTCGTCAGCTACTGCGGCTGACATCCTCAGTGGTAGTGCTGCGTTGACAACGTGAACGTAGATTATATCTCGAAGTCTCGACAGCGACTGGGCCGACCCAGTATTCATTCTACTATGGTTTCCGGCCGTGAAAGCCTTTGTTATTATATTTTGAGGTATTTTATTTATTAAATATTAAGTAAAAGGTTCTTTATTTCTTATCGTACTATTTTGATTTAGTTTTATAAAATTATTATCTTCTAAAATTATGAAAGAATAGTTGTTATGAATAATTCTACTAATACTTACGAGAATGTCTCTTTCAACATTTATTGGGAGAATTTTATTTGATTCTAGACCAAGGGAACTCGATGAACCATGGGACGCCCCACTGCGAAGAAAAAATAATGTTTCATCCCAGATTATCAACTCATCACATGGTTATTCTCTATCAGGTGCGGGTTACGATGAAAATCAAAGAATTAGGAAACCATCGGTCGATAAAATTATCTTTATTCCATACAATCGAAACCCTGAAGAACCTATCAGACGTTTGTCCAATTTCCAACTTGACAATGACCATCCAGTAAGTAAAAGCTTCCACAAATTAAAATTGCATCTCTTTATCAAATTATTCTTAATTTCCCTGGTATTTGTTAGTGCTTTATGTACCGCTCAAAATAATTACGTTTTCGTGTTTATCAGTTTTTTTTTAAATTTTCTTCGGCTTTTACGTAGTAGTCTCTAATTTTCTCGATATTTCGAGGAAATTGAGTTTCACTAACAGTTAATTTACGTTTTTACTTTTTTATTGTGTGCTTAACAGTTATTACCTTAATCAGGATAGAATTCTGCATTCTGCTATATCTCTAGATCATAGTGATGAGTGCACAGTTCATACCTGGTAGAAGATTTGGCGGGATTTTCCTTAGGCCAATTAGTACTCATATATTTTAAAGATTAACAATAGGTCAAATTGACCAATCTAAAATGAATTTGAGCGACAGAATATCCAATGTTTCTGCTATACGCATGTATAGATCAAAGATTTATTGATCCATCTCGTTAATAATGAACAAATAAGGGTCTAAAAGATTATAGCTTTTTTAAACAAATGTATTTTTGTAATTTTAGATACACTATGGGGAGTATCAAGGAAATAACTATCTAAATCAAAATCCAAATCGCTCTCAATATTCACATGATGATCACCAACGACATTCGTACAATCATACGCCAGTAAACAAATCGTACAGCAGAAACAGTGGGTATCAGGGTTACAACAATCAATCCAACGAGAACAGTTGCAACTCGCCTAAAAAGATGCGAAACAATTACGCATCAACGAGTAACGATTACAACAATCGTAACACGACCAATAATATGAACGCAAACACGAAACCTGCGAATCATGATTTCGAATACATCAAACCGCCGACGAAAAGTTACAATCAGTCTCCACCAAAACCCGTACAAAATTTTACGGATTCGAATCCAATCGACGAATTGCAAACAAAATTCAAAAGAACTGCAAGTGCTGATGAAGACGATCCTCCGTTCAACTTTAAAGCGATGTTGAGGAAAACGAATTACAATAGGGATTCAATCAAAAATAGAGAAGGAAATAGCAGAAGATATTCGTTTAAGAACAGAGACAGTAGAAATTTTGCCAGTGTGGATGAAACTAATAGTTACTGCTCACGCAACGAAAGCCTACGAAAGCACAGGTCTGCGGATGAAATGGATGCAATTTCAACTGAACTGGCCCCCGGTATTGTTGTTAAGGGATACGTCGCCGATCTTTGAAGATTTACCCGTAGATATAAAAAATTCTCACAATTTTTCAGCTTATCTGAAAGATGCCAATTTATCACAATGCTCTGGTAAGTAAAATTGATTTTCTCCTTTTTTAAACTATGCACATAGGAATAATATAGCAACTGAGCATTAGGGGAAGTTTTGTTGTCGAAGTCTTCAATACTAATAATAATAATAATAAAGAGTGATAATAATAATAATAATGAATTAAACATCATAAATTAAAAACAATGGATATAAATGAAGATGACGTATTTCTTAGTGTTATTTGCTGTATTTGAGGCTAAGGGATGTAAAAAAGGAAAAAAAAGTGGATACATCCGATATGCTAAAGGCAAAAAAATGAGTGTGAATTCAGTACACCATTTGGTTACTTCCCGAGATAAAAATGTTCAGTCTCTCAGAGTCTTTGAAAGCGAGACTCGAGTCTCCGTCTCATATCGAGTCTCTCTGGTGTCGCTGAGAGAGATGGTCAAAAAAAACTGTTTAGCGTCTCTGAACGAGAGAGTCGAGTCGCTCATAGAGAGATCCTCATTTCGTATCCAGTCTCTGAACGAGAGACTCGAGTCGCTCATAGAGAGATCTTCATTTCGTATCCAGTCTCTGAACGAAAGACTCGAATCTCTGAACGAGAGACTCGAATCTCTCAATAAGTGGTGTCTCGATAGACATGGTTAAAATTTTCCAAGTTCAACATATTTCAGAGATCCCAGTGTTTCTACGAGAGACTCGAGTCTCTCAATTTTTCAGTTTTATTCATTCAGTTTCTCTGTGAGAGACTTGAATCTCTGAATTAACAATTTTATCGTTCGAGTCTCTCATACAGAGACTGTGGGAGATCCATAAAAACACCTAGGCAATAACTGAGAGACTGTGAAAGACTGTGAGGGACGCTCTAAGAGACGCTGCAAGACTCTGAGAGACTGAAAATTTTTGTGTAGGGATATTAACGAAGCAATAAGGATAAGCAATAAGGATTTATCAGTATTTTCGAAAGAATTACGATAATTAAGTTTTTGTAACCACTAAAAATAGTGGTACCTATTAACTCATCAATTAGTACTACATTCGTCTATCTTAAAATTATAGAACTACTGCTTAATATAAATTCAATTATACAGTTACATCTTAATTTAAAAAATATAAAATGGTCGTAGCACCCCTCCTCCAGTGATAATTATCATGAAAATTATTCTATCTGGAAAATTGTCATCTTTCGCCGATAAGGTTGCTAGCTGGCGCGGACGTGTAAGTGCAGCGATACATAGAAAAAAATATGTACATTTTTAATACAGGGAATTTTTTTATTCAATTAAAGGAAACGAAATTAAGAAAATTTTTTTATTGAAATTCTGCAACTATAAATTCATAATTTAACCTTGTAATATGTTAACCCTATAAATCAAATTCATGTGCTAAGGGTAGGTAGCCAACAGTATCCAGGCACATTCATTGCGTTCCCTTTGACAGCCTTTACCCCGAAAGTTTATGCTTCGTCCCTATATTATTCCTATATAAGTGTATGTTTCAAACTTGATTACGTCTCTGAGCTGCGTATCTAGTATTGTACTATTTTAAAGTAAAATATATATTATGTACAATAAATGTACGTAGAATTCCTCTTGTGTTTTGAAAATTAAAAATTTCTTGATGTCATACCATTGTAAATTTAGACGTAATGTCGTTTGTTGTTAATAGTGAACAAAATATAATTTTATGTTCAGTTATTTGTTTCTATTAAATTGTGTAAAACTAAACAATTTCCGAAAACTAAATAAAATATTGTTCTATCTCATTGTCAATAAGTAAAAAACTTAAAGGACTGTGACATATATTGATTCTGTAAAAATATAACTTTAATAATTATATGTTATTAATAATAACACGTTATACATGAAATTCGGAAAAATGTTACTCCAATATCAAAGAATACACTTTACAGTGTAACATACATTTTGATTTAAAGGTTTTCTTATTAAAGCATTTAACTTACAATTAAAATAAATTACACATTTTATCTTACTACATTGTATTCAAAACAAACTAAATTGAAAATATCGGAAAATTTTTTAGTGGTCATTAAACATTTAAAATTCTCGTTTTTTTTTTGGAAAACAAATATCGATACTAAACAATTGTAGATAAATAATTATTGATTTCACAGTTTTTAAATAAATGTTAATTATAATTCATTAAGTACCATCAGTGAGAGTACAATGGATTTTTAAATACCGATACAGCACTTCTGTACAAGGGATTATCATTTCTGTTCCATTTTGCTTGATTTCTTTCATTTTCGAATTTTTGATATTCTTTTAAATCATGAAATATTATGAAAATCTTCCATACAACTAGCAGTACTACTCCAGCAAGGACTATGCTTCCAACTACACTCAATCCTATAACTAAAATAAAATTTGTTACTCTAGATTATGTATATATGGTTAATCAGGGTTGTAAATAATGCTTTACTTTTTGTAATGAGTAATAAAAATATTTCTTTTGTATTAAAATTATCAATTGAAAAACTGTAATGGTTAGCGTAAATTCTTTCTATTACTGATGAAAAAGGTATCAGTTAGTAGCAAGAACAACATATTTCTACAAATTTCTTACAAAAGTAATCGTTTATGTTTAACATACCTAGAAGGTTTCCTTTTTCTGAACAATGTTTGGTTTCCTGAACTTTAATTTGTAACTTCTTCTCTTCATCGTATAAGTATTGGTAAATTATGGCACACCCGGAAGAATCCAATATTCTACATATCTTTGCGTCTTCATTTGAATCTTCTTCAATTTTTTTTACAGTTTCGATGTCAAACAAGCATTTACCACCACATGTAGGTTGCCTAAACTTTTGGGTTTTATTGAAATGGCATTCGACACATTCCCTTAATTCGTTACACCTAATTTAGAAAAAAAAAATGAAAGATTTGAACAGTATAAGTACTCTCCAGTCTCAATTTCTTTATTATTATTATGAAATTGATAAACCTGTTACGTGGTTGAAGACAATTATCGATTGTGAGGAAACTTACTATTTCCTTTTCTTATATAGATCCAAGTTTTTAAAAAACGAAACGATGGCATGTTAAAAACGCTTAATTTGATACAATTTCTGTCTTCTAATGATCAGTATCAATAAAAACATTTGACAAGTTCCAAAACAACATATGTAGGTAGATACCATAACTAGTTTGTTCTGAAATTTAGTAATTTCTCCAACTCTAGAAGTCACACACATATGTGACAATATGGCTTTAAAATAAAACTGACTACTTTGATTCGATAATTCTCTTTCATTATTGCTTTAGAATGTTAACTTTCGTTTAGTAAGAACATCTGTAAGTACTTACCTTTGTCCTGGGCATGAAGGACATTCTTCGCAAAATTTCCCATAATAATGATGCCCTCCAATCTTTTCGCAAACGCATTCGCCACAAATACAATTTCCATGCGCTGAACATACACTGTCCTGAGCATTTGGTGTAACACAGGTTGCGTTACTGTCAGGACATTCGCAGGCATCTCCGGTCCATCCTGGTAAACATTTACATTGACCGCATTCGCAAACACCTTGCATTTCACCAGAGCAAACCTTACATATGATACATACATATTATTATCGTAATAAACAGAAATAGTAAAAACTGTTTAACCAAAAATAATAATCTTAATATTTTGATGCTTGCTTTTACTTTGAAATAAATATAAAATGCGAATAGTTTAAGGGATATTAAATAAACAAATTAACATCAATAAAAAGAACTCCATAATTATCAAACACGTCTAATAGGACTTTTTAGAGTTATGTGAGAAAGAGAATTTAATAATAATATGAGCAAACATTGACAAATATATTTGTAAATTTTCAGAAAAATTAATAAAAAAAAAAATGATGAGCCAAAAGTGCTGCCCGCTTCGCCCGCCCCACACCCTATAAATTGGCATCTTGATTGGCAATTGCACAATAACTGAAATTATAAGATTAGTTAATTCGTTAATGAATTACAAATATTCCGCTGAACGTGAATTTAGGTAAAACACGTTAAGGAATCAATCAAATTACTTTTACCCATACACATGTTGTAATTCACTTACTAAAACTACCTAATTGTCCATTATATGTGTAAATTCTTTATTAATTTAGCGTATTATTCAAGTACACAAAGCTTTCACTAAAGCTTCTGGATTTCTTAATTTTAAAAATGTTAATTTTACACAGGTAATTTCACCTGTTATTGTCCCTATAAATACTTAATTTTAATGCATTTTAATATCAAATTGTTTAATCGTAGTAATTATTTATAAATGATATGAACTTAAAGATATATTCTACATTTTATCGTTCTTGTATTTTTACTTCTTTACATTACATTTTTTTATAACATATTATTATTGTAATGTAGTGTATACCTTTGTTCTCGAATTCTCGTGACGACCTTGTCCGGCACAATAAAAAATTATCGTATTAGAAAGATAAAGAAAATGACGTAGTTTTAATTGAGGATCGTGTTAGATCGGTCTTCCTTCTTCGATTAGTAATTATCGGGTAATGTTGCCGTTAAGACGAATGTGAAGTGCTCCAGAAAAATATAAAAGGAATTTAATGTTTTCGGTAAGTGAACTTAAATTTTCTTCAATTAATAACTTAAGTCCTAATTAGGTATTTTTATGACATTTTTCGCTCTGTCGTAATAAAGAACAATTTGTTCTATACGATAGATAATCGTAAGCTGAAGCAATTCGTTCGCCATTACAATGTCTTCCTTGATAAGCATGTATAAGTAAGTAATTAGCAATAAATAATAAAATAGTTGGGTGGTTTCATTGAATTTAATGTTAAATCTCTAACTACGTTTGGATGGAAGAGTCATTTTGAAGAAGTATTTCCTTGTACCTAACTAATTTCGTTGAAATACGTATGTGCAGGACATTTACCATTAATTTCAGTGAAACTACAAAAGTGTATTATTATTATTCTTCTTTGTTAATAAAAATGTTTGACAACCATTGAAATTTTAAAAAGCAACCAGTAAGTTTTCAACAGGTACTCTGTTTCAATTTTTAAGGTAAAGGATAAAACCGAATTTAGTGTTGTTATTCATTAACATAAATACAAAATTATATTTACCATAAGTATTATATTACAGGGTGGGTAGGTTGGTTTGAAATTATCCGAAAGCTAATTAATTTCAAAAATTTGTGACAGTTGTAGCAATTTAGTTCAATTACTCTTTAATCGCAAAATAGAAACTTGAACTTTAACGATGAAATACAGTTTAAACAATTAAATTTGTAGTTTTTCGATTTTTTTTGCACTGTTGTTATAAACATTTATTCTAATTGGAGAAAATATTGGATAACTATTTTTTTGAATTAAAACTAAGGAAAATAATTTCTTATGGGTAGAATTTTCTGCGACCAGGAGGTTAAGGGAAAGTCGTTGTGTGTACAGGGTAAATTTTCTAATTTGATACCCCTTTTTATCTTCATAACTAGTGATGTACTCAAAATAATAATAGTTTATGTATTTTGTTTTATGGTGCTGTTAAATGTGCTATTAGAACTTTCATGTGCCTGTTAACATACAGCGGTGTGCTCAAAATATCTTTTTTGTTAATAGAACACACTGTAGATTTTCAGATATTTGAAATTCCCTCTATTTTTTGATAATTGAAGGAAATTGTTTGACAACTAAAGTAATTCAAGTGCGTATTAAGGAGGATTTGCAATACTGAAAAAAATATTATTGAAGGGAAAAATTTAGTACAACAAATATACCTACATTATCAAAATCAGAGAAGAGAGAGAATTTCAAATACTTGATAACATCCATACATTTAAAAAGCGCATTCAGAGTATGCTAGCATTTGAATTCACCACAAAATAAATTGCAGAAACCATTATATTGAATTTTCAAAATGTTACTCAAAGAGAAAGATATCAAATTAGAGAATTCATCCTGTACAATCTTAGCTATTTAAAAATACGACTGTGTTGAAAATTTTCCGTATAGGTACTTTTCCATTAGGTTCACATATTGACAACATCGTATTGTCTTTCCCGTTCGTACAAATCCGTTTTTTACTTTTGCATGTTAAGAAAAAATGTATGCTCACATTTTTATCAATCTCTCTCTTTATTGAAGTTACGCAGTTGTCAGAATTTAATTATTAATTTGCTTATTTAATTTTCTGATGGTACAGTTCAGTATTTTCCAAACTTTCAACATCTGTACCCTTTGTATAATTTTCTTAACAATAAGTCTCCCTTAAAAGTAACATTTAATATGAATTATCAAAATCGGTGGGGTTTAGTAACAAGTAGGAAAATTTTTCATTATTTTTTTATATTTGTAATCGAAAATACGAAAGCTACTTGTTGAACCAAAGGCGCAGTTCAGCACGTACTTGTACCAAACTCTGCAACATTTGTTAGGAGCTTTTCTGTTGAAAGAGATTTCACATACAATAATTGGTTATTATTCTACTAGTTCTCAATAATTGTTGCTGTAATTGTCTGACCTAATAATTTTTTAATTTTTAATTACTCATTGTGTAAAAAATTGTAGTATCACAAGTTTTTAAGCCTGGTTTCGCTCGCGTTGATGTCTTATCACAGTGTTAAAGATCATCGAAAATGACAATAATTTAATAATTTTTTTCTTAAGTCCTGACCAGGATCATCAGGCCAAAACTAAAGTTTCCACTTTTCTGTATTAAACGTTTTGTGTAGAATAACATAAATCAGTAAATACTGACGAGATAAAAAGAAATTTTTCTAACTCTCAGGAACAGTATTTTTTCTGAATAAAAGGAACCCTATGTCTTTATCTATATCCCCTGCAATATGTTTAGAAAATTTCATGATAATCGGTTAAGTAATTAAGATCTGAAATCCTAATAAATTTCTTTTTTTTTTTCAGTATTTATACAAATGAATTTATGTTTAGATATATGCGGAACGGACTATTTAGTGGTGTATATGTTAACGGAAATGTGTGTAATCCGTCATTGTATACAATTCCTAGGAAATGTATATAATTCCTAAAATCGCCCGGAAATGTGTGAAATAAATCAAATTAGATACATTTCCTAGGAAATTCATACATTTCCTAAATAGCAGTCAGAAATGTATTACATTCAAAATGTTAATGGGTACGCGGGGATAGCGGAACGAAGGAGGGTATTGCGTCATCCGATCAAACGATTGATTGTATTAACAGATAACAGATAAGAAAGCATTCGTTTTATTTAGTTCCTAATACAATATCGGAATTTTATACAATTCTTAGGAAATGTAGACTTTTCCCAGGATACGTGTGTTTTAAAAAATCTTTGAAAGAATATTTTTATAGATTTCCTAAATAGCCTCGGAATTGTATTTTACATTTTCTAGGAATTGTATACAAATCCTGGATTTCATACATTTCCGGTGACATATAGGTATATTGTGTAGAAGACGAAGATAACAGAACTGAATAGTGTTTTTCTCTTTGTTTTGCCAAATTCACACTTTTGAATTGGTTTGTCGATGACATAAAAGCAGTTTCTGATTAATTTTACGATAGATAGATAGGTTGTTAGCACACCTTCTTAGGCATAAAGGTCTAGTCAGAGACATATTAGAGGCAGTAACAGGAGTTACGAGGGGTAGAGGTAGACCTAGATTAGATTATATGTTTGCAAATAGTTAAGAACGTGAATTGTTCCAGTTTTAGGGAAATGCGAAGATTAGCTCAGGATAGAAAAGAGTGGAGGTGCGTGTCCAACCAGTGTTATGACTGACGACCTTATGATGATGATGAGGTGGTTACGTTAACGTTTTCGTATTTTAATGAAATAGTGTCTTACAATATCGTACCTGGCCGTTGTTCCTTTTACAAGAGAAATTATCACACTCGCAATATTTTCCATAAATTACTTGCGTGCCAGGTCTTTGGGCGCACTGACATGTACCGCAAACGCAACTGCCCAAACCAGAACAGATTTCTTCACTTGGACTTCTTCTACATGCAGATTCATCCAGAGAATTCGATGTACGAGCATCGCATTCGCATCTTCTGCCAAAATATCCTTCATTGCATTTGCAAATTCCGCACTTCAAATTTCCGTTCTGTGAGCAATTTATCGATTCGAGTTGAGAGTCTGTATAATTCGGTTTCTCGCAATCACATTCACATATTATTTCAAGTTCGACAAGTAAATATTCATCTATTCCATCAGGTTTTATTTTAATAATCTGCTGCTGTTTATGGCATTCTAATGGACGAATTACAGCCGTAAAATCAACTAGTTCATTAAGGGGAACTTCCTTACAGCCATTTTCTTTCGGATTTGAGCAAGTAGATGAGTACTTTATTTTAACATCATCTCCAGAATCGTCCATCATCGTAACTGATCCCACAATTTTCTAAAAGCGATCATCATATTATCTATCTTTATATTTGATTTTTAAAAATAGTTTGAAGGTTCAGCAGCCGCTCAGCAGTTCTTCGATATTGTATTTTATTATTTCATTATCAATAGTTGACCTTTTAATTGGAGTGTTAAAGTATGTGATGTACCTACTTCAACATTCAGAAGAATATCAAGATATTTCTCGTATCTAAAGATGAAACGTATGGGAAGCAAGCCTATCTTTAAAACCATCGATCACGTCAACTTAATTGAAAAGACAATTTTATTTGATGACATCCGCTGTGAAAGCGTAAATTCTGTATCTTTAGAACAATTCCGAATTCTGTAATTTGTAATGACTCACATCCGGCAACGTTTCGTTGACCATTTATTATCGATACCATCAGAAATCAGAGGTGAACTGGCCATAAGGGAGTTTGGGAGATTTCCCTTGGAAACCCTACGATACAGGGCCCTTACATGTCTAAACATAAGCCTTTTGACCCAATAAACCCGGGATTGATAACATTCAAAGGGTTCATAAAACCGGTAAGCGTATTGTGCATATGATGTCGCCCCTAAAGTAAGGAAAACATTACGTTTTATCTCATTTACATGGGTCTCGACCTTATATTTTTTGCGTAAGTCTTCATGAGATTCTTAACGCCTTTACCCGATAAAAATTTAATTCATTTGCTTACGTTAATTGTATTTATTGAAAAAAATCAACTCTTAATAAAGAATTTAGAAAATAATTTATTGGGATATTTCTGATACATGAATATATGATACCAATAAAATATGAGTGTGTAAAGCTTATATTACATTTACATGTAAATAAAAATGCAGTACACTTTGCTATTTGTCAATGCTTTTGTTGTAAGAATTTTCGACTGCTGTTAATTCATTGATCTAAAGATAAATATTTGGACTTTTTTTTATCTCCATCGTTACACTTAAGGATATTTGGGAGGTATGTCAACTCCTGTAAAAATTACAAATCGATTCAATAAACCGTTAAAAAGTTATTGAAATTTTAAAAAATTGTAATTTTACACGTCATTTTATGGAGATTCGTTAACCGAACAGATTAAATTTATTTTTATTAACAGAAAAAAAGCTACCAGAAATTTCAAACTTTTATAATAAGTAACTTGAACTCTGGAGAATCACTTTAGCGTAAGGTTATTCAAATTCACTAAATGGTTATCGAGGAAAAAATGAAAAATTAGCTGAAAATCTCGTTTTTACTTGATAATATAATGATAATATTTATAATTGTCTGAAATAAATGCAATTTTAAAGTTTTAATTATTATTTAAACATATTAAAAAGTTTTACGCTCATTATTAATAAAGATTGAAACTAAATATTTTTTTGTTTCGAAGTTGAAATCAAGGCATATTCACTGCCAAAAGTCAGTTAAAAATATTCCATATTATTCGTTATTTCTTATTTTATTCAAAATTTTTGGTCAAATTCCAAATTTTCTCTCAAACCGTATACTTTTTTTTTGTATAGACAGTATTTATTTACCTCATAATATGCTGCAATACCTAATTAATCACGAATTTCTAATTTTATGTAGTCTTGTCTCCGATTGTACCTCCCAAACATCCTTAATATAATAGAAAATTTTTAAAAACGGTACTTCTTAACGACAAACTTTTCATTACAATAATACTTTCGATACCAATAAACTATACCAACAAAAGGTCGTTGTGTTTATTTAAATATAAACAAAAAATCAGTTTTTTAGACTAAGTCCGCCCCTGGGTCACATACCCTTACATATACCAACCTGAGCCGGACCCATCTGATGAGAACGACAATAAATGGTCGACGAAACGTTGCAAATAAAATACATACTAGCACTTTTATTCCATGAAATTAGCCCCTTGTGATCAATTACAAACTATAGAGTTCAGAATTGAGATAAACATTTATTAATTATAACATCTCACAATTTTGTTGTATGAAATTTTGGGAAATTAACTAGTCTATACCTTAAAAGAAAATGTCAATAGCTGTGGAATACAGAAATCAGTTCTGTACTTTTCAAGATAATCCTCCAAACTCATAAGCTTTCTTTCAATAAAAATATTACTTCAGACAAGAAGATTTCTCGATATCCAATTTTACACTAAGTTGTGAAAAAACTTTGTAATTGAACTTACGTTGTAATTATCCAGAATTAAGTTGACAACATTTGATGAACTACTTGATAAAGCCTCTGTTGCTGAATTTTCAATTTGATTCTGTAATAATTTGTATGTCTCAATTACGTTTTCCTTTCCTGGAACTATAGCAAAAATTAAGTTGATATTATTTCGTTTCGCCACGAAATTTATATGCGAAATTGACGGATAATCCAAAGCGATTGAATGAGTATATTCGCCATTTTTCATATGACAAGTTGCGTCGTTCGGCTCAAATATTCCCGCAAGTTTTCCGTCTCCTGCTATATGAAAAGGAGCATCCGTGGTCATTACCAATAAATGACGTGCTTTCTTTCTCCAACCGATTTCTTTCTCGCAAACCATCGCCTGCATGATTGCGTCAAAACCACCTTCCGGTGGGTCAATGTTAGCTGAAATCTTTGCGTTTCTGACTTTTTCCGAAAAGACCGTAAAATTGTCTGTCAACGACAGGTAATTCTTAAAGCTATACGGAGATGAACACTTATCGTAACTTTCCAAACCCCTGCATGGATATTTGAACCTTAAATTAAAATTTACATACATACAATTTAGACATCTTTTAGAAGTGAGTTAGTTTAATATGAAATATTATTCTGAATATTCATTTTTGAATTTTTTTACCCACTACACGCTAATTCTTCATTAATTTGAGGTAGCGTGTAGTGGGTAAAAATTCAAAAATGAATTTTCAGAATAATATTTCATATTAAACTAACTCACTTCTAAAAGATATCTAAATTATATGTATGTTTAATCATAGTATATTCAGTATATAGTTACATTAGTTCGACGGATCGTTAACCTTGTAGGTCGGTTGGTCGTGGTTGTTGTTGTCACCTCTCGTAGTTTAGTGGTCAGAACATTGGTGCGTAAAGCCAAAGGTCCCGGGTTCGATTCCCGGCGGGGGTGTGACAACAGCAACAATTTTTCCCTCAT